ATGTGTCTAATATGAAAACCATTCGAATTGTAACTCTTTTCTCTTATTGAATCTTAGTCATCGTCAGGGATAGAGATCGAAAAAATATCAGTCTGGTACAGATTTCGGATAAGCCGGTGTGCTCCTACGTTTACTTGAGCAAACACTGAATAATGATGAAGAGTATCTATTATACCTTTGACTTTTTATAAATCTGGAAAAGGAGGATGTCGTGGGTCGACGAATCTATCATTATGTAGCACTATGGTGCATATAAATTTTGCCAAGGTTCGCCAACTACCTCATAAATCATGATCATTTTACTCCAAGTGTTGCCCTTTTAAGGCTCATACCTCAGTACTAATTTTGCATATTAACCTGAAAACTTGAGAGAAGCCTTCCTTATGTCGAGACATTGTTTTCCGCCAAGTTTCAGTATCAGATGCTAAACTAGAGGTATGTGACATGCGGATGATCATCTTATTAGTGTCAAGAAATCAGAGATACAAATATTCCAGCTAATAAATTCAATTTTTGGATGAAGCAAGACCGCAGATTGAGCACAAGTATCATGTGAAAAATATTCAGCATTAATGATGTATTTGAGAAAAAACAAGACAAACTTTAGTACGTAGCCTTTTAAGATTATAAAGCTTACAGCAAAATCATATTCCATTCATTAAAATTCGATTTCTGATAGAACTTGATAGTATCACTACTCCACATGTCTGATAGTGTATGAACACGAAAATTTTCAGATCTCTATCACTTATGATGAATCACATCCGATGAGAATATAGTCTTTTACTCAGAGAAATAAGTCGATGCATACATTAACGAGTAAAATTTTCCGAGAAGTTTTGAAAAGAAAACAGAGAAAACGTCTTGATAAAAACTGATTTGATACGTCGGACATTTTTAAAAACCAAACGTTCATTTTTGTGAAATATTCTTTATCATTATTGCAAAATGTAATAAGATTATCATACTACAAGAACAAAGACGCATAAAGATGAACTACTCTATCAACTTTAATTAACGTGTCTGTGAAACGTTCTAAAAATATTTGACTAATGAAAACATGGGATTAAAAAAATTAGAAACAATATTTTTGAAAGAAAAAATAAAGCATACACCCCCAATTCAATCCCATTTGTCATTAGACGACATTGCAATTCGAAAAAAATCAAGTGCAAAGTTCTGCGGGGGAGGAAATTTGACCTTTACGACCGTTATGTCTACCTCAAAAAATTATCTGAGAATTTTAAGCCCATAAGAACTTTCATAATTGTCTATCAAGTTGTTTCTGAAAAAACTGGAAAAAACCCAATTTTTCGTAATACAATGCGTTTATTTATGCGTATGTAAGAAATCATTTTTTTAAATCAGGATCAAATATTTTATAGATAAAGATTAAGAAAAGCTTATTTTTTTACTTACTTCTGTCCATTTTCCAGACATAATAAGTTCACGAAAATTTGATGCTTGTTCATGTTCAAGTACGCAACCACTTTCATGAATAAGAATATCAACTGTTTTACTAAGAAGTCAAAACAAGAAATTCTAAAGTTATTTTTGTAAAAAATACAAATAAAAATACTTTTACTTTAATCCAGCACTTTGTAAATGTTGTCCAATAAGTCTTAAAACTTCTTTTTGACTATTAGAAAATATTCTTAAAGAATTTATATTTTCGTTATTTGATGGATAAGATGAACCAGTTAAAGTTGTTTGTGTTGATGATGATACGAAACGATCATGTGTATAATTATTATTTCCATTTGATGATGTTGCTTCATATCCATTGCTACTTGATGCATCTGTATTTGCCGTTGTTGTTGTTGATGTTGATGTTAAACCATTTAAATGATGTGTTAAACGTTGAGTTTGTTGTTTAAGTCGTTCGGAATTATTATTATCATTAGGATCAGATATTAATGGAAGAGGATTTGAAGTTGTTGCTGTTGTATTATCTATAGATAATGTTGATTGTTGGCCTCCGGAATTAGTAGATGTATTCATTGTTTGATGTTGATAATTGGAATCTTTATTACGAGTTGATCGAGTTGTATTCAAGCGCGCGCGCTTGGGTGGTGGACACCCGGCGACGTCTTCGTCCGAGCTTGATGAGGCCAGTATTGCGAGGAGGGTAACGAAGAATGACTCATACGGAAAACAGTGAAAAGTTGTAAACGTAGCGACGGCGTGACAGAGAAAACGATGGAAACGAAAAAAAGAGAAATAAGAAAAAGAGAGAGAGAGAAAACAAAACGCACGTCGAAATTCGATAAAATAGATCGAATTGTTATATGGAAAAATGAAACGTCGAATGAAAATCTTCGAAATTATTCGTTTGGAAAAATCAAGGTCAAATCAATATGAATGAAGTATCTAAATAAAAAAAAATGAACATATTTCTTTTAAATTATCATATTTTTTTTTATAGAAAAATAAAACGAGAAATTTCTAATAGAAGTATTCTTCTGTATTCGAAGAATAAACAGCTGTTTGAGCTGTTGATCACTCGTGATTAAGAGAGAGGGAGACAGAGAGAGAGAGCAACAAAAAATTTCTATCATGACATCAGATTGATAAATAAAATTTCTTTTTATTTAATAGAGTTGGAATTATTTTTAAATAGTTTTTTTTATGAGTTATTTTCAATAAAAAAATAATAAAAATAATAACAAAATATAAACGGCGGTCAATAAAACATTTTTTTAATGGTCTAAAATTTTCTCCAATCATATACAAAGTATAACGCGAAGAAAAAATAATCATAGATTAAACATATGTAGTCAATGTGCCGCCATCTGTATCTACTATCTAATAGAATATCACTTTATCTACTGAACAAGGAGTTATATTGCTTTGAGAAAAATAATCTTTATAATTTCACTATAAAGCAGATTTTAATTGAAAGTGAAAAAATAATTTGTCAGTATACATTTTTTCATTAATAAAACTTTACGATTTGTGATCATTGGATTCAATAGTATCTCTATGTTAAATACGAACAAGCGTTATATATCTTTGTTAATAGTCTATATGATAAACTAAACGAAAGAAGATTGAACGAAAAAACCACTTCATTTAGTGAACTCATTTATAATTGAACATTTCTTCTCTGTTTCTTGTCAAATCAATTAGTAAATTTAACCTTTTTATTTCACAGATTTTAATTAAAATGATAAAAACTTTCTTTTCATACGTTTGTACATTATTTTCTTAGTTCAAATCATTGAAGCAAATGAAAATCGAAGTATAAATAAAACTATCTATGAATGTGAAGCTGTGGCATGGAAGTCGGTCTTTTGTTTGTTAACAATTACAAAATGCAAATCTGATTAGCTTCTTAGAACAATTTTTATGACTAGATATGTGTTATTTGATTGACAAAATTATTTCAAATAAGTTAAATTTTTGTTTAAAAGCATCCTCTCCGTATTCAAATGTTTAAATCGACATTGTTTCGTATAGCTTCAAGTGTTTTCTGTCAAATGCCATATAAATGAGAGCTCTTCATTGTTAGTCAGTACTTTTGTTAAACTCAACTCTTGTGCTGCAATTTTTCTTTATATGCAAAATTCTCCTAATGATAATTTCTAAAAATACTAACAGCATCGTTTCTCGACCACTAACACAGCCAATTTCTGAATCATTTTAGTTGGACAAAAAAGTTCTGATACATACAGAAAAATTCTTTTTTTTGTAAATCAATGTTCACAAAAATAAGTGCAGAATCAACCTCATTTCTCCGATACCGTACGTTCAATTGGGCTGAAACTTTTCTTACCAGTATTGAACACTGTTTAGTGTCTTATTATTTTGAAAAAAACAATTAGAGAATTGTATCTCGAAGAAAATAGTAGAAATTTATCACTGTTTCTGTTCTGTATCTAATGACTTAATAATTAGTTTTTTTTTGAAACCACATACACAGAAAAATATCACTATGATTAAAATCTTAAGAAATAATTTTTGCGTGCATAATTGTCAAAGATTGACCTCGTATTCAACATAGACTCAGTCTGCAATATAGATATTTCTAGTGTAAATACTAAATGACATGATGATTATTTTGATATCCACTAAATATGAAGAAGGCTGTTTTGTGACTATGTTCGATCTAAAAAAGGCATTGTACGGATAAGTTATACCACACATATATATTCGAAATCAGCAAAAAATTAAATTTTTTGCTTGAAGCATTTGCCTTTTAGTAGCCGAACAATGAGCGAATACTTAGCACCATACTCCAATTATCCAATCCCTGCTTCTATAAATCCTCATATCAGACATTTTTTCAGAATAGCACTGGTATATTGCGGTAGCCACGTCTATGATTCCGGCGGAAATCGGTCGTATCTCATTCATCTGAGTAGTGCTTATGATTTTCGGTTTCAGCTATCAAAGATGGCAGAAAGCGTTTTCTACCCAAATTCGAAAGAATTCAAACATATCGATATCGTCACAGAGCAACGAAAAAACGACTCACTAATTTGTCAGTTTTAACAGACTTCATAAATATTCACTTATATGGATACTACACTTGTTGTTTATAAAATACTATTATAAACCTTTTTTTTCGAAGCAAAAACTAAACTATCATCATTTCAGCTTGTTGATCTATTGATTGTGCTTCTGATTTATCAGACAAATATGTTTTATTGAAAATATTGAACCAGACACAATATGTGATAGGCGAGCAAACACAGAAGATATTGTTGAAAGTTCAAAGTTTATTAATTCTGTTCTTTTGAATATGCCAATATATCATTGTCAATCTATTACATCAAAATATGAATTCATTTCTGATATAGACCATTTATTTGGACATTGCTCTAGGCGACATCTAGATCAATGAAGAAAGCAATCCTTTGTTTCAAGAATTTTTTCTCACGATTGGAGGGAAAAACATTTTTCTCATTCTAACGGTCTGCTCTCGCGCGCGATTGATTAATCTTGATCAACAAGTTTTATTAGTCTTATACATTTTTAGATCTATTTCTTTTATTCCGATGACCATCGAAAAGAATAAATTACAAGTAAATATATTAGATTTTCTAACATATTTACATTATATGATTTTTTTTTTTAGCTTCCAACTATAAAAGATTTTCTTTTTCTTAAAACAATAAGTCGAGGTGGTTATGGGTTAGTAAATATCAATTCTATCTATTAGAATTATTATCAATTTTTTTTTTTTTTTTGATTTTAGACGAGTTTATTTAGCTACAAAGAAAAATGATGAAAATAAAACTAAATATGCTATTAAAGTTATTAATAAACATGATATACGAAAGAAAAATTTAATTGATCAAAGTAAAAAAAAACAAAAAAATTTCATATTTGTTTTAAATTTTTTTGTTTTGTTTGTATTAGTTCTTAATGAACGTGATGCATTAGCTACAATGCATAGTCAATTTGTTGTTCGTCTTTATTATTCATTACAAACAAAAGATGAAATATATTTAGTTATGGAATATATGATTGGTGGTGATTTAATGTCATTTTTATGTATTAAACAAGTACTTGAACGACATGAAGCACAATTTTATGCTGCTGAAATTGCACTTGCACTTGATTATTTACATCGAAAAGGTGTTATTCATAGGTAATTTATTGATAAAATTAATTTTAATATGAAGTTTTATTTATTTTTTTCTTATTAATAAGGGATTTAAAACCAGATAATGTTTTAATATCAGCAACTGGACATATTAAATTAACTGATTTTGGACTATCGGAAATTCGAAATAGACGAAGTAGGTTGAGTTTAGTTTTGTTTACAATTATTATCATTTAAAATTGAATAATAACTATAAAAATATGATTATTTGCAAAGAATCGTTGAGAAAGGTTCTCATATTGGTTAATCATTTTGGAATCGAAACTATATACATCATATAAACCCTCATGAGTTATAAATATCTTAGCAAAAGTTCGAATTCTAAGCTCATTAGTGTAGCGATAGTGTATTATCAAAAGTAGATTTTAGAATGCTTTGAAGTTTTCACCTGACAAATATCTTCTTCTTAAGATATTGAACATCCGAAAATAATCAAGTGTCACAAAGAAAGGTAGGAAATTTCAGTATTTTCAATATTGGATCTCTCAAGAACAGCACATCTCTATAAACTGACATATTCCTACTAATATCTTCCAGACTTACTTATGGACAAAATCTCAATGCGATTACCAAGTCACATCTGAGAATTGTCTTTCATCATAAAGTATTTTTCTGAGGACCTGTTTCTATGCAAAGTTTTAAATCTATATTTGTCAGTCAATTTTTCCTGATTTGTGTTGTGGACTAATCGAGAGAAGTCGTACAATTAATTAAGTGCTTTTGAATCATTATGTAGATCCTAATGAGATTTGAATATATTGAAAAGAGTTTAGAGACTGAACTTGTCATTGCATAGATATATACTACAAGATCTATTTAATTTTTTTCAGAAGTTTCAGTTGCCGATGTTATTGGTACACCATCTGTATGTAAAGTACGTGTATTTCGTACACCTGGTCAAATTATTTCATTAACATCAGACTTTAGTTTTGTAAGTTTAAATTTGTCAATTTCTAATTTCTTTTTCTTTTTTTTTTACATTAAATATTTGATTTTTTTTGTATTTCTAAAGTCATCAAGTGAATCAGATTCAGATCATTTACATATTTCAACATCAACACATAGTAATCCAGCTAGTGTTATATCAAATGAAAATATTCCAATAAATAATAGTTTTCATCGTTCATTTTCATCATCACGTCTTATTGATTGTAGTTTACGTGTTTATCGACAACCATTACCTTTATCTATACCTGAAAATGAACCACTATCATTTGGACATGATGATATTGATGAACATGATGATGCAAGTACAAGTAATATATCCGATTTTTTATTTTGTAGTCCTAAAGGACGATCATCAACAGCATTACAAACTATTAAACAACAACCACGTATTTATCCTAAAACAATATCAAGATTACTTGCATCATCACCAGCTCATCAAAATCAATTTCGTTTATTTCGTGGAATGGGTCAAATATTAAATACAGCAACAACAAGTAATCTTGCTGTTCCAACATCAGCTTCACCATGTTTATCACCAATTCGTTATTCACTTGATATATCATCAATTAATCAAATTCAATCAACTCATATTGATGATGAACCAATAGAACCAACACAACCATCAAATCATCGTTCATTACCAATGGATGATTGTTCAATAAAGGTTTGAATTTTAAGAAACAATAAATTTAAAGAGAATTTAGTTTAATCTATGCATTTAAAGTCTTAAAAAAATCCTCAAAATTATTTAGATTTTTCAAAAAAAGAAAAAAAAGTTTTTTAATAAAAAATAATCGAAATAGATGAGACATAATAAAAGACTCAGATCTACTATTGCAGAGCGAAGAATTACAATATTACCTTTAGACATAACCAAGGTGATGAAAATATTGAACAGATAAGCTTGTTTCGGGGAGATCATATTGTTTTTTGGCCAGAATTGAGAACAAGTTTGATTTTCTGGATGGGACTGATACTTTTTATGGTCATGCAAAACTTATGTCGAATGTCATATAGGAACAAGTCATGTATTCTAAATAACTATGAATAAGATAGTTCAAGTTCTGATTCTTGCTGGGACGGGACTGAAAACAGCTCATATCGCTTATGTCTGTTCGTTAAGAGGGGCAAGAATTTTTTTTGTTTTTATTGAAGAATCAAAAATTTTTGAAAGGAGAAAAATTATTCAATTAGTATCAAAAAAAAATGATAATTAATGAAATTCAATGTGTTATTGGACTCATTGATCAATTGATTTCATATTTTTGACAAAAAACAATATATAAATGATAATGCCTTTTTTTTATTTAGTCGGTATGTCTAGCTCAACATGTCTCAAGTGGTCGAATATTAACTGATGTAACTAATAATACGTCAGTTCGAAGTAGTTTTCTCAAATCACCAATACATCCAACTGCTTCAGGACCTGTTTTGGGTACACCAGATTATCTTAGTAAATATTTTTTTATTTATTTTGAAAGAAAAATATTTGTCTTATTTTTCCAATATATCCTTCTTTTTTTTTTTAGGTCCAGAAATATTAATGCAAGATGAAAATCATAGTAAATTTTTTATTTATTTTATCATTTTTGATTATGATTCTTTTTTTTTATTTAGCACCGGCTGTTGATTTTTGGGCACTTGGAGTATGTCTTTTTCAATTTCTTGTTGGTGTAACACCATTTTCTGATGATTGTCCACGTGCAATTATATCGAATATTTTAAATTATCGAATTTCATGGCCAGATGATGATGAAAATCCATTAGATGATGATGCAATTAATGTTATTAAAGGTTTACTTAATTATGATCCTAGTTTACGACTTCAATTAGATGGTGAAAATAAATTAATAAATACTTTATTAATTGCTAACATATATGTGATTATATTTAGATCTTAAAAAAGAACCTTTTTTTAATCAAATTGATTGGGAAAATCTAGCGAATACAGCTGCACCATTTATTCCAGTACCTGATAATGATTCAGATACATTCTATTTTGAAGGTAAATTCTTTTTTCTTATTCGAAAAAAATAGAAAAGTGATTTTGTTTGTTTGTGTTTTAGCTCGAAATCGAGCAATCGGTTTTGATGAAGAATCAGTTGATTATTTATCAATGTTGTAAAATGGTTAATTATGGAATGGCTCGTAACAGTAGATTATTGTCTAGATTATTTTTTGCTTAGCAAATGTATATAATGCGTGCATGTATTCGGCGTCTATTTCAATATTTAATCGCCGTCATTCATATGTTGAATATCTTTCTGCTTTTTCTTCTTCTTCTTTTTTTTTCATCTTGTCTTGTTCATTCTCTCTCTACTGTTTGTATATTGTATAATTCTATGTCAAATACGTGTGTATGTATTGTGGTAGTTGAAATAACAAAAATATCGATCCAATGAAAAATATATATATTTATGAGTTGTTGTATTTAAAGGACAAAGAGGCTCATGATCTTATATTACATTGAAATGAATGACATGCTGCGTCAAGAAAAGAGAAAGAAAAAAAGAATTCTGTCAAAATTTTGACGTATGAAATCAGTTAATAAACGGCATCATGTCAGCAAGTAAGAAGTTTTATATTTAATGTTATTTTAAGGCATCATAAATATATATTTATATAGTTCGTGAAGATTTATCAACAATAGTTGAAACTGGAACTCAATCAGGTCTTGATATAATTGAAGAAATTGAATGTAATGATCATGATGATGATGAGTCTTTAGAAGAAATTGCACAAATAGCAGTAAATAATAACGTCGATAAAAATAGAGTTCATATGTTTTGTAATAATGTTCAAAATTGTTTTTCTGAAATTGATAATTCAATGTTTGAATTACTTGAATTAAAAGATAAACTTCTTCTTCAATATATACCATTAAATGTATCATTAAAAATAACACTTGTTCTATCTCGACTTTATCGAGCTTATTCTCAAGCACAAGTACCTATTTATGAATTAATACGTCTTGTTCAATTGTATAGTCAACCATTTGATATGAAATGTATTCAATTCAAACGTTTATATGATAGTAATGAAATGAAAAAACGTTTGCTTAATATGGCTTTTCAAAGATTAACATCAATAGAAAATAATACAAAAAAATATGAAGAACAAAAATGTATTAACAATTGGGAAAAAATGTAAATTATGAAATTAATCAAATTCTATAGAATTGAATAAAATAATTTTTATTAGGTATATTCGTCTTGCATTACCACGATCAAATGTACGAAAATGGAAATTTCGTTTGAAAACATTTCAAGAAGTAAATATTATAAACAAAATTCTAGTTTTTGGTTTTTTTTTTTTTTTTTGAAAATGATATTTTGAATTATTAGAAAGCCGCACTTGGTTATGAACATGTCATTAAATGGATTCATCCAAGAATACCACGATCATCATCATCATCATCATCATCATCTGACATTTCATCAAATAGCCAATTAAATGATGAGCAAGAAACTGATCGATTTCAAACAATACACGAAATTTCTCATATGCAACTAATGGACAAACAAAAACTAAGAACAGATCACGTCTATTTTATACTTTTCTAGTTAAATATAATACTAAAATGTTATGTTTAGGGTTCGAATGATGATGAAATCGGCAGTAATAATAATGAAGTCAATCTTATCGATAATATCAGAAAGCAAGAGCTAAATCTTACTGAGCAAAAACCTACAGTGATTACAAACGATATGGAGATCCAAGTACAACCTGATATATGTCATCAACAAACATCAACTGAAGATATTCTATCAACTAAGTAAAAAATTCTTTCATTTTGTGAAATACGATCTACAAGATTCTGTCAAGCATAACCATAGAAACATTACAGATCGAGTATCAATCACATCTCGTTATAATATAACGAGTGGCTCATTGAATGTGAATGTCAGAAAATAAAATAGTTATCAAAAATTATGTTTAAATAACAGTTCTGCTGAAATATAAAATACATTGAAAGATACATCTCGCAATGTTTTGAAAACATTTAGAAAACAATGCAAATGACTCTTTCTGGCAGCTCTATGCCATTGAAGATAATTTAACAATTTTCGTTATACTGTTCAAAATTAAATTCTGCATTTGATGATATAATGATAAATTATTCATCAAAAACGTTATACTTTTGATCACACAACGTCTGAAATATCGACAAATGTTATTTTCAAAGTTTTTTGAACTGGAGCGACATCATTAGAAGCCTTGAGAAGATCTTGAGAGTATAGAACATAAAACTCTGTTTATGGATGCTAGATACTTGACATTTAATGAGCATAAGTTTGCACAAATCGTTAGATGTTCATAGAAAAAATCAATAGATCGTACAATCTTTCCAATTTTTATAGAACAAATAATTCTCTACTTAATGAGTTCAGAATGATGCTTTTGAATAGTGTTTCCGTTCTTCAAGAAACGGAAAATCAAACTGTGTTATTATTTATAAGCCACCCATTATGAACTACATCATTATTGCATTTTTGATTGATTAAATAAAAACGATGATGAAGAAATGTGTAGCAAAATAGATAGAATAAAACAATCATCATGTGATTAACAACAGTAGCTAAATCATGTTTTACATTTTAATCCCACAAGGATTGTGTTGTGTGAACAATTACTTTTTTTGTCAATGTTATGATTTGGATTTCTTCTAGGTCACTTATTATGCGTATTTACCGACCTATAGGAATTTTAAAGACAAAATTTCAATGTATTGTTTATGCTCAAGGACAAATATATAAAACCAATGTCTTTAAATTTAATGTATTTTTTATCGTTTTTTTTTTCTCAATTGTAAACTGGTCTCTTTTTTTTTGTTGGCTTTCTAGAAACCAAATGTATCAATAGATGAAAATAAAAAAACAAAAGGACAATTCAGTATAAGTCGAACAACAAAATCAATTGATTCAAGTAGATTTTTTATTGTTAATAATCAATAATATTTTTTCTTAATGTTTATATTTAGAAACTAAAAAACGTAGTGAAACTCCAACAATTTCGGATGATAATGATATTAATACATTTGATAAAGAACAACATGATGAAATTCTTATTCCAATGTTAAATGTTCTTAAACGACGTTCATTATTTCATAGTAATATTGATCCAGATGCTATAAAAATAGATATTTTCGGTGATGAAAAATTTTGCGGATCATTAATTTTTTCATCTGAAGATTTACATATGTTTGTAAGTATTAATAATTTATCAAATGTATAAGAAAGCAAACAATATTATAGGATTTACCAATTTTACATAATTCAATTTTATCATCTTTAATAGCTGTTGATGATAATATATCTATAACTTCTCTAGAAAGTTATCCATATGAATTTGATCAAACATCAAATAAACTTTATCAATTATGGAATTCTCGTGCACCACAATTATTTTCTATTTATAATACTAAACATGAATCGATTGGTAAATTACCATTAATTATGTTTTGGTATACTAAAATAGAACAAACTCATGCAACAAAATGCACAAGTAATATTATCAAATTAATAGAGAGTCAACTATGAAGAATTGACTATAAAACGAAATAGACGTAGGATTGTAGAGTACGCAGTAGATAGAAAAAGTCTTTCACTACAATCGTGTCCTGCACTTGTCTCGAGTACTAGTAATATATGAGATCTCAACATTTCAAAATATTTTTACTTTTTCAAACTGCTATGTATATATATAAAAGTATAGGAATGCTTGATCGTGATTGAACAATTTATTGTACTTGAGAACAAACTATAGAGATAGAAAGCGATCTTGTTTTACACAGATGTTTCGGTTTTAATGAAAATTCATCTACAGATGATAAGGAACTGTATGAAGAAGTAATTGAATATCTAGAGAGAAAAATAAATTATCAAACACATTTCTGAACATTTGACATTAATACTGAAGTTCGTTCTAGCGTTATCAGCAATAAGCAAACGTATACTTAGTGACATTGATCAGATTTTTGAAAATTGGACTCATGCAGGACACTACTCCAAAATCCTACACATATTCCGTTCGATAATCAAAACCAATCAAAAAAGACTTATAGCTACATGCAAATCTTTGTATTTATGTAGTGACGATTTCAATTGAAAGTGATGTGCCAACACCGAAAATTCTTCCTGTTCAGGAAAGTGAAATCAATGAAAGAGTTATTTCACCGATAAATGATGAAAACAATAAATCCAATGGTTTCGAAATAGGAAATGATCGTATTGAAACTCTAAAAACAGCTTATGAAAATGAAATAGCTAAACTTCATGAAGGCTATCAGTATGTGCATTATGAAATTTTTTACTGTAATTTAATACTTTTATATTTAGAGCGGAAATTTATCGATTAACAAATCTTCTTAATGAATTACTATCTCAACAATCTAATCAAATGATTGAAATACCACAATCCGATGAAAATCAACCTGAAATGATTCAAGAAAGTCCATTAAACATAAATATACGGTATAGAAAAGTAATATAAAAAAAAACAAATAACGATTCATTTTATAGACAACAATTAGGACAAAATACAAAAAGTGAAGTTGTTATGGAAAATCAACCATCACCAGTTTACGGAAGAGATCTTCCAAAAAATGTACGTTATGATTACTTTTCGTTCTTTTGATTTGGCAGGACACTTTTTTATTTGATCTAATAAAATATTTTCTTCTTTTTATAAAAAAAATCGATTCATCAGTTAATTACTTTTAAACGCATAGAATGTCAATCATCGTAAGATTTTTACACTACTTGTTATTATATCAATCACCCACTCGATATTTCAATCAAAATGAAAACATATAACAAAAAGAAAAAAAAAAAGGTTTCATCTCTTGAAACAGTAAAGACATTTTTTTTTATTTATGTCACACCTTTTCTCATCAGAAAATATGTTCTGTTTGGCTAAGATGTTATGACACTTTCGATTGCAATAAAAAGAAAATTATAGAATTCAAAGTTCATTTTTATTTTCTGTAAAGTTTCTTGATCGTTATCAAATGTACCGACAGCGAAGTATAATACATCGTCAACAATTAATTGCGAAAGTTGAACAAGAGACTACATTAGCAAATGAACGTCAAATGGAAACTCAACATCGTTTACATAGATCAAAAGAAAATAATGAAGATGATGAGGGTAAAACAAAAGAAAAAGAAAACAATGAATAATTTTATTTAATTATTGATCGGATTTTTATAGATTTATGCTTACCTGCTGTTTTTATGCCTTTCCGTTCGGGTAATGTTTTTAATCCAAGAGCTTATCAATATTTTCATTCTATTGGTAAAATATCAAGATGAATTACTTCTTTCTTTACTTTTTCTTTTATTCAATAAATAAAAAAAAAAAAGGTTCAACTGATCCTCGATTAACTCAAGCACCATCGATTTTAAAACTTCCGTCTGTTCCATCACGAACTGTAAGTGTTATTCTTTCTTTTAGATAAATAAATTTTTTTTTTTTATAGGTATCTGTATTAAATCTATTTGAATTAAGTCAACGTTATGATACTTCAAATGAAAAAGATCATCTTATTGAGAAAAAAAACTAATTCAAACTTCGTATTGAACAATATGTTTAAAAAGAAATCAAGCATCATTTAAAAAAAAAACAACAGTTTATTTTCATCATCACCGGGTTTTTTTTTCTCGTGCTTGCATTTGTATTTATAAATAAATATGAATAAAAAAACAAAGATCTCAATAACCATTGAACCGATATTTCATCATACTTCGTTGAATACTCTCTGATGCTTTTGATTGTGATAATGGTACATAACGAACATTTGTCGATATGGTATTAAGTGCAGTTGGATATTGATATCGTTTATTTAGCCCATCGTCTCTAGCATGGTTACTGATTGTATCATATGAAACAGGTTCTGATCTTTTACTGAGAAGAAGCTAAAAAAAAGAAAAAGAAAAAGAAAATTTTTAAATTGAAAAAAATTCTTCTTCTCTTTTCAGCATTTTTGGAAAATAGCTTATTAGAAAATTTTCAAATTTTAAGGATGAATAGATAGATCTTGATGAGTAGAGCAAAATTTGTCATTAACTGAAAACTGCTAAGAATCTTCTTGTAGGACATATTGAAGTTACAAAGATTAAAAGTTGCCTCTCATAATCGTCCTGTTGTTTCAATGGTAATGCGTTTCTTCAATTGGAATAAAAAATAAAAAAACAACCGTCCATAATAATTTAAAAAAAAAAGAATTAGGGATCTTGAACACTGTCGTATAAATGAAGAAAAGTTTCAGCTTGATTCAATATACAGTAGTTGAGAAATAGAAAAGATTTTCAACTTTTTTTGTCAATAAACTCATTTTTTCAAAAACAACGAAATCACTCAAGCTAAGGATTCTGGCGCTATGATCCATGAATATGAAAAGACACCATTTCTAGTCGGAAAAATGAAATGAACTTAGAAGAAAGAATTTGGCGATCGAAGCCAATCAACAGATTTCTTTTTCCACGTTTTTTATCATTTTCCCGAGTCTTCCGGTCTAAAACAGGTCGTATTTTTTTTTTGTCGGAAAATGTTTAAATTTTGATTATAGAACAATCAAAAAATTTTCGCTTTGATTTTCTTAACTTACAGATGGAGATGGACTACGTTGTACTGGTGATAATGATAGGTTTTCTTGATTTGTTGCTTTCAAAACATACACAGTAACTTTTTGAGGATTTTGATTATCAAAATTCATGATATTATCATTAAATTTAGTTTTTTCATAATTATTCTTAATAGGTGGTGAATGTCTAACATTTTCATCAGTTGTTTTTAAATAATACATTTCTGATTTTCGTTCAGAAGAATTTTGCAAAGGCATTGGTGAAACTCGATTATTGTTATCAAATACTGATGGTGACTGACGATCATGAATTTCATTATTATTTTCTACAGTTTTCAGATGATACAATTCAGGACCATTACTATTTGATGGATAAGAATTATTAATTGGTGGCGAAGATGATCGAAATGGTGGTTCATCATCATCTATTGGGTTCTTATTATTTTTTGTTCCGAGATGATATGTTTCTGGTTTTTTTCTATTGGAATTTGCAAGTGGTGGTGGTGATGGTGGTGGTGTATATCGATCATTGTCAACAATTGATGGTGATGGATAACGATCATAATTATTTTTTGCTCTTCGTGGAGTGAACGAGTCAGTCATTGTATTTTCAAAAATAATTTATAAATGCTTATAAATCTTTTTTTCTTCTTATTAAATTAAACTTTTTAATATTCGTTGAGAATAAGTACATCAGTTGAAAAAAGTTTACCGTCTCTCGTTTTTTTTTTCTTGTTTTGTTTGTGTACAACAAGAATAGCAGCATAAGCAAAGAAAAAGAAACTTAGAAAAAAAAAAAATTAAAACGTTTGTCAATAGAAACAAAGCAATGCCTTTTATTTACTCGTAGGTAGGTTGATGAGTGGTAAGAAGCAAAGAATGAAAGTGTTGAAATGTAAAAGAAGAAAAAAAGTCAAAAATCGTTTCTTTTTTTTTCTCGTGCATTAGTCATCATATGGAACAAAAACTTGATGGTAACATTGTTTGAATCAAACGATCGATTGTATTGGCATGATACACAAAGAAAAATTATCATTTCGTTGGTTGAATTTTTTTTCGTGTAAATACGTATATTTTCAATCGTGGTTTGATCTATATAGGCAAAATTACAACGCATGTGTAGCTCAGGATAATGAACTTTTCTCAAGATAATTTTTATGTATTACACGTAGGTTAAGTTACCTTAGATACCCTGAAAAAAAAATCAGAGCTAAAGATTTTTCCTCAAAGAAGTGATCAGTAAAAAATTAGCATTCGTGACCTAACACAAAAAACAATATCGATTGTCATTTCACGCATTTTTATTTAAAAAAAAACTCCAAATTGAAACATCATTTTTGAAAACTAAATATTATATTCTGTAGACAATCCCTGAAATTACGAAATCACTATGGAATGTTTTTTCGGAGTTTGTCTCGATTTTTTTTTATATGAATTTAATTTTTGTAAGGTTACGGTAAAACCAAACTTTTTTCTTTCTGGACTTGTTAAAAATTAATAGAAAAACAGTTTTAAGAGAAAGATTTTTGGAGTTCGATTTTGCTGAAATTTTCGATTTTTATTTTCTCATATTCAAAGAGATATTTCCTCATCATTTTTTAACTAAATAATCAGCTGAAAGAGCGAATATTTTTCCATATGTTTATGCTAAAAGAACTTAATCAGAAAAATAACCCTTGTCAAAAACCAAAGTCAATTGAAAGGTAGGTGTGTTCCATTTTGCTTCAAATGGCATATATAAAGAATGCTTTTGAAATTTATAGATAAATGTTAGTTTTCATTGAGTAATTATTGCTTTTCTATCTTTGAAATAAAATACCGAGACTAATTGACCTATTCGATCTGATTGAGAAGAACTAAAGAAAAGAAAGAATTACTGTCTACTATTCCAGTCAGGATATGAACCAATATCTATGCTGGAGATGATTGTAATAATTATTGAAATCATACTATTTCAATTAAAAAATATTATTTTTTCCGATTTTAGTTAAACATTTTAACAAAACTATACAGTTCATAAGTTTGTATAAATTTTATATTAAAATCTATATTACTATTTATCTTGATAATATATATAAAATATTAATCAAGAATAAAGGCATATCATGTCGCGATCAAAATTGAATAATATTGATATTCTAGGTAACATCGATCTTGAAAGTTTTTTTTTAGATAATTCATATTACTTTATTTCACAAGATTAATGAACGTTAGAAATTAAATGCTGACATAGACATTTTTTTTGTGACTAACTGAACTTACATATAGGTCTCTAAACACTGATTTGCATGTCAACTTCATTTTCACTCATCCGATAAAAAATCTTAATCAACATACTAAATTAAGGTTGTCAATCTATTTCAATGTATATAATAAAATAAATTCGTTATCTGTTTCTATTCTAAAATATTCATGTAATACAAAAAACAAAAGAAAAAATTTATTTCGTATTAATTGTTAAGCTTATTAGAACATTATCTAATTATGTTGTTTGTTTTCTAATAATTTTTTTTTTTGTATGGGAATATTCAATATAAACGACAATTGATTTGATTTGAATAATTATTTTTAATTGCTTATAATATATTCAAATCTATTTATGACAAATAAAATATAATGTCGGTTCTTTGTATGTTAAATATGAATAAAAAATAGCCTATCTTTTTTTCTTTTCATGTTCGCTAACGTAAGAATTGTTATATATTTATTTACGTAAAAGAAGAATATAATTGATAATAATGATATATAGATATATATATATAGAAATCGATTGTTGAATAAATAATTGAATTATTCTATAAACAAGGAAACGAATGAAACAATCATTTTTAATCGACACCTACTCTAATGAATAATGTGTCAAAATTTTCTAATAGAATTTTCAATGAATTTATAATAGATAGCAATCCTTGTCTTTTAAATCATTTTTATGATGATGTTTTCTCTAAGAATAGACTTTTCTCCTCAGGTTATTAACAAACATACACAAGCTATAGTGTGTCAATGTTGACTGCTGTATGAATGTGAATGTGTGTAGTTGTGTATTTATAATGATATTTGTCGTGCTTGATGTTAGATAAAGCAATAGCTCAGCGGAATACATGTTCAATAAAGAAAACTAACATAGATAAAAATAAGAGAGAGAGAGAGAGAGAGAAAGAATGGTTCCGAGTGGATGGATGTTCAACACACTCAGTTAAGCCTGATAGGCTCTTTTATTCTCGCATTCGTCTTCATATACTCATGACTATCAAGACAACAGCGATGCATAGTTTTAACCACGCATACAAAAAAATTTATTAGGCGTTTTTTTGTCTTATCCTTTTTCTTTTACTCGTACTTGCGTTAGCTCTCTCATTCTCGCTCTGAGTATCTGAATCTACATGCTGTTGGCGCTGCCTACGTATGGCGACTTCTCATTCATTGTAACACGTACGCGTTTACCACTAAGAAAGAGAAAGCATCTAATGTTGCCATGTTCAATATTTTTTCACTAGTTTTTGTGACGGCAATCCAAAGACAGAAAGAGAAGAATAAGAAGAACAAGAAAGAAAGAGAGCGGGAAACAACTCACTCTCCATTCATTCATATGGCAACAGCGCAAATCTTTTGAGGCAAGATTTTGAGGATTCTTTTCTTTCATATTTATTATCGTTAAAAAATAAAAATCATGAACAAAACCGTAAATTTGATATGTATAGTACCGATAGTAATAATAATCGTGATGATGATGATGATAGTAGAAATTCATCAAAAGTCGATGAACATTGAAACATATATACATGCACATAATAACATCCCTTTCCTTTTCGGTTTCAATGACGATGATGACGAGCAGCGTTAACATAATAGATTCCAAAGATTTTCTTTCCCTTATGTTCTCTCGCTTTTTTTTTATATATCACTGTGCATCTGCAGCAATAAGACAAGAAGAACAAAAAAAAGAAGAAAAAAAATAGTTCCCTCTCCGAACTCGCGTTTTTCTTTTTGCGTGTATGTTCATAAAGGCAAGCGCTAGCATCATAATCAGATAGGATAGAAGTTATAAGACATTAACATCAACAGACATACAATGACAATGAAAAGAATTGTAAGTACATAATTTATAATGAATTCACATTCTTTTTCTTATTCTTTCAATATTGGACATTTCATGAAATATTTATTTATATTTGAAAAAATTCATGCTAATATTCGACTAAAAATACCATATAAATATATGTTCATCATGACATGGATGATAGCATGGAAATATCGTCTACGATATATTAGTTACCTAGAAAGAGTATAGCTTATTTAAGACAGACATCCGTTTGGATTCACATGTTTGAAGGGCTTCATGAATGTAGATGGCTTCAAAATTGAGCATACAAAAAAAAACCCGAAGAAAGACGAGAAATTTTTTTCATCATCTTCTTCTTATCATTGATTCGTCTTATTTACAATAATAGAAATACTAAAATTAATTGATTCTGTTAACCCAATGGCAAACGTATTAAGATTTCTCTCTATAATTTATTACACGGTCGTTTAGTCTAAAAAACTAATGATTATATCTTGAAGCAGTTCTCAAGAAAAAAAAACAAGCATTAGAGTTGCTCTTCGTCTCGGCCAATTTATGTGTCAAGAACTCTTTTCCTTTAAGAGACGTCTAAACAACTCATTTAAAAAAAGGATTTATTTACATATCAAAGTATAATTTTATTTTTATTTTTTATTCTCATTATTGTGCAATTCATTTTTGCATATAGAGATTCTTATTTCATTTTTTTATACTTCTTCTCATTCTTCATCTTTCTTAGTTTTGTATTTGACAAATAGAAAAGATGTGCTTACCATGATGATTGCCAAATACAAGTTCAGTATAAACGTCAGAGAAAGAGAAAGAAAAAAAAAATGATAGATGGTCTCGTTAATGATAATGTTCGAATTAATCTTCTCAGTTTCTTTTCCAAATGAATAATATATCAACTATTCACAATTGATCAGATTCATTATATGACAACTAAACGATTAGAAAATATTCAATATAGATCATAATAGAACATATTTTATAGAAATAAAAATTATAGAAATACTTAAAGTTTCTATAGAAAACTAATAAATTATAAGACATAAATTTTAAATGTTCCATTTTTTTTTCTATTATTTATACATTAATATTAATCGTAATATATTACATAATGTATTATAATGCTATGAAGAAATATTTCCTTACAAAAGTTAGTACGAATTTTAATAAGACCATTTATTTTTCTCTCTTTCTCTATATATATTAGAGATAGACGAAGCTATCTCCTGTCGCCAGTGCTCTCGCCTACGTCTATGTAATGTGCTGCAAATCTCTATGGAGCGCGTGTTGCGGCATCTCATAATTCTATTCGTGCTGAAAGAACACCGAAGAGACGACTTCCCGCTTTCGAAATCTATTCATGAAACAGAAAAAAACAGAGGCGTGCAAGCATCTATGCGTGGGCAAGAGCAAGGGACAACTTCTTCTATTCAACATAAATTAATATTATCCTATGGTAAAAGAACTATATTCATTTTAGATAAATATAATAATGATGCCTAATTAAATGGCTCATTTTACACGTTTTGTTTCATTTGAAGATAAGTTCAATACGAAGTATGAAAAAAAAAAAACATTTTACTCTTGTTTTGTTTTTTTGAAATATTTTTCTTTTGTTTTATTTTAGCTTATTTACATTTATTCTTCCAAGTACATATTTACTAGGAACAGAAGAAAAATTAACTACAAGAGAATTTTTCTGTCGTAATATTCCATTTGCATTAACGTTTGTTAAAAATGGTGATCAATTAAATGCTTTTTTATTACATCGTAGTCGTGATATAGAAACGCTTGAAATGACACTTGACTTAAGTGTTACATTATTATGTCGTGAACACTTTACACGTAATGAATCATTTACTGAGAAAAATTGTAAATTTACAAACAAAGTTACTTTACATGGACGAAAATCTTTTACATCAATAAATCGTTTATGTTCAGTTGATTTTATGGATGAACGTGGAAATATACAATGTGAACTTGAAATAAAAAATCTTACTGTTTCATATATAACAGAAATACAACTTCCACCACAATTAATTAATACTCAATATGCACATGTTGTACAATCGACAACAAATCGACAACCATTAGATGCTAAAATTGAAACACCATTATTTTATTATTCAAATTATGAATGGTGTGTTGTTATACAACCAAAACTTGATAGTGTTGGACAAGTTGGACATTTTCGAATGTTTATACAACGTTTAACACCATGTGATCATTCAGTTAAATTAACATATCGTATTAAATTAATAGCTGGTTCTTATACATGGGATCCAAATCAAGAAAAAAAATTAACAAATACAAATGATAGTAGTACATATGAAATAAATTATACCGATATACATGGTTTATGTCGACCATATAAAATAGATCGTGTACGTGAATTACTTCAAGCTAATGGAAAATTTACACTTAGTGTTGAACTTAAAGATGCTATTAGTAAATAAAATATACATTTTTTTTTTTTTAAAACCTATTCAATTTTTTTGTTTCTATTTAGCTGTCTTCCCAATTATGGTTGATCCATTTGCACCAAATCCTATTCCAGTACCTTTTCTTGATAAAGATCAACAAGCATGGACTGTTGAAGCTTATATTGAAGAACAATGTTTTATAATACGTTTATATTATTCGGATATATTTAAAATTCCAGCTAATTATGTACGTTCAATATGTTTTAATATTACTGTACGTAATTATCATGATGCAAAAACAACAACAAGTGTTTTTCAAAAACCAGTTACAAAATATTATTCACAAAAAGATAGTGATGAAGGTTTAGAAATAAGTACAACATTAGATGTAACAGAAGTTAGTTGAGAAAAATTCAAAATAAGAAAGAAAGAAAGAAAAAAAGACATTGCTAGAAAATTTATTTTTGTTTAGTTAACTGAACGTGGTTTTTTAAATGATCAACAAAGTGTTACAATAGAAATTGAAATGTTTTTTTCACATTTAATGTTTGCACCTGAATATTCACCATTAGATGATATTGTACGCAAACAAAAAGTACAAATAATGTATGCATCATTGTTTTCTTCTTCTTCTTCTTCTTTTTTCTTTTATTATTAAATAAGAAAATTTTTTTAATACAAAAAAAAAAAAATTTTAGGCGTGAACTATTGACAGCACAAAATGAAAATTTTCAATTAGAAAAAAAAATTCATGAACTTCAAGTAACAATGCAAAATCCAACAATGTTAAATCGTTTATCTGAATCTGTTAATGGATCATCATCTGTAGGACTTTCAAGTGGTTCAAGTGCACCAACAACTCCTAATGTTGTTCGAAAATATTATGAAATGAAATATGGTGATAAAGGTTCAACATCAAATTTACTTGCAACAGGAACAAATAGTTCATCATTACCTATGTACAATAGTGCATCAAGTTTTGATAGTGGACCATCTAATGCAAGTCCATTATCTGTACGTAATGGTACTTTATCTGGTAAAAGTCAATCATCATCTGTACCACAACCTAATGTCACATTTGGTTCACGTAATACATCAACTTTCAATCTTCGAAATAAATTACCTAATTCTATACAAAATACTATAGCTAATACAAGTCAATCATTGCAATCAAAATTACCTGCTAGTTTACAAAAATTTCCAGCGAGCTTAACTCAAGGACCAACAATAAATATGCTTGCAAGCAAATTACAAAATGCATTTTCCTAGAAATTTTTTTTTTTTCTGTGCATAAAAATGTATGTTATCTTTTGTGTGTGTGTGTGTGTGTGTGTGATACCATTCCTGTATTTTTCCTATTCTGTGATCCCCTTTATATTTCTAAATGAAATTCAGACAAGAAAAAGCAAAAACAAATAAGAAATAAGATTACAAATATTCATGAAAGAATTGGAATATTCTTTCTTTAAAAATAATATTATTAATGTTGTCATAGACAGACAAATAGGATTTTTATGAATTAATAATTAGTTTATTTTTGTAAACTAGAAACAACATAAATAAGTAAATCCTAATGTACTTTTACACATTTAACTATATTAATGAAATTCATATGTTCAGCTTTGTTCGATCTCAATTTTATTGTCATAGATTTTTTTTTCAATACTTTATGTCAGATCTGATCCGATTAAACTTATAACGATAAGATTTTCTAGCAGTACCATACTCACACAGATGAAGTTAGGAGTCTATGTGGGTAGTCCAAATAGTGATTCACCAACTAAGTGTTTCAGGTGTTCTTATTCATGTTTCGGGTAGATTTTGATATGCTCTATAGAATGATGAAATCAGGTACACAATATCTAAAAGCATAGTCTCACAAATTGAAAGATAGTAGTTTTTTATCATCTGCTCTAAGGAAACCTTAGAGTAATTCCAGCCGCGATTCACTCACAACGTCATTTAGATGTTCACATCTGTGTTCCAAGTAGCTTTTCAAATGGTCTTTTATATTCAGGGATCGTTTAAAATAGTTATATACAATGTTATATAGTGTATTACAACTATTCGAAAAAATGACCGTAAAAAAAGTGTCGCTGATCACTATCCAAATGATACGTTCATGGTACTAAAGCATATAAATCCTTAGGAACAAATGATCTAATAGAAGGTTTAATTCAATAAACAAATCCTTGAACGACGATTAATACACACCAGAACAATGAGTAAATAGTCATTTATCAATATATTATTTTTCTTTCAATTCAACTAACATATTTATACTTTAATTATTGATATTATTGTTAAGGATCTGATCTTGTAACGATATTTATCACCGTCTCTAACTTATAAAATATAGAGTTATCGAGAGACTAGATCATTTTATTATTTGATACAAAGAGATAGATTGGTCTGTTTTTCAGTCTGATGAGCTGTTATTAACTTTTCAAAACTTCGAACATGATGCATTATGAAACTGACTGACATATATTCAAAGTTTGCTTAGTCATTGCAACAAGATACATGAAGAAATCAAGGCTTATGTTTTCGAGTTTATACTACATAGGCCAATAGTAGGCTCAAGGTTCAAGCTGTCACAATACAAATCAGTCTTTAGAAATGATACCGTGTAATTTCTTATCATCAAGTTCTCTACTTTGATTTTCTTTCTTTTTCATTTCAAAATTTATCGAAAATTAAAAAAAATCTCTTAAAAATTTATCGAAAAATTTCAGCCGCCGCAGCAGTCGAACACGAGAAAAGTTAAACATTTTTGGTCGCCGTCCTTGGTGCATGCACCAGCTTCGATTTCTGGTCAGTAATACGAACGAAAAAAATATAAAAGAAAACAAGATTGTTTGTGTAGTCTTTTAGCGATCAAACGCTGTTGGTAGATATCAACAAAAAGATATATATTAGCGTTTTACATAAAGACGTTAGAAATAAAATATAATTGTATATTTGAACATTGATAAGAATCTGTCGATTAAGTAATGAAATGACAAGCTCTATGTAATGTAATTGAGAGACTCTTACTTGAGAATGTTGAATTCTGATATTTTATTTAAAAAAAAAACATATCACTACTCGAAAAAATGAATATAATAAAAGAATAAATATGTTGACATTATGTATTGTATGCTATTCATATTAGTAGTATAACATGTGTTAGTTTTTAAAATCTAATACCGTTTTTTTTGTCTTGATTATTATTGTGTAGTTGTTCGTTTTTGCTGAAGTTCTAATCTTATCTGTTATTCATTCGGCACTTTCAGCTTCATCATGTTCAATTCTTGATTCATTTACATATATTTCTGTCGTTGTGTGGCTGAGAGTGTCGAAATTTTGAGACCTCTCGAGTCTTTGACTGGCCATTTGAGTAGAGTTCCTTTCGTTACGATTATCATCTGTGTGACTCATCAAAGATGACCGAGATGTTGTTGGATCATACACACCATAATGTCGTGCCCAAAAATCAAGGTCTTCAGAAGTATTTTGTTGATTTTGGAGCATCGAACTAAGATCTTCATAGATTTGACGTTGTGCACTTACATTTTCAAACGAAAATGCTGCTTTAATGAATTTGATTAACGTTTTTCGAATCAAATCCAATCGTTCTTTTTCCAGCTCTCGACATTCTTGATAAATGTTTGTTGCTCTCTCACGATAAATTACTTTTTCTCGATCATAGGCTCGTTCAGTTCGCTCAATTTTTTCTGTAATGGCTTTTAATATTTCTTGTTGTCTCGTTTGAGATTGACCATCATTATCATTTAGAGCACGTTTTGCTATTGTTTCTTGTTTATGTAATTCTTTCAGTTTATTTGATAGATCGAATAATGATGAATATGCAGCTTTGAATAAATTTTTCATTACATCCGTTCGATGATGTCTATGAGTAATCCTAAACAAAGCACGTGGATACATTTTTTCCACTTCTGTAGTATATGTGGCAATAATTTGTTGAATCTTCTCAACACTAGCTTTCATAAGTTCAACATGACGTTCAGGTGTACGAACTATTTTTAATTGTACCTCTTTTGTTGTATTGTATGATGAAAGTAATGGTTGTTGTTCTATTCTACAGATCCATCTTCTTGAATATGAAGTAAGACTTGTAATATTTTCTCGTAGAAGATTGCAATAATCTTGCATATATTCAATTAAATCTTTGGATATTTGATAGCCTAGAACAATAAACACAAATAACGAGATAAAAAGGATGATGAACTAATAATCAAGAAAACCTACCACCATCAAGACATTCGAGAATCGATTTGTAATTTTTTTCATCAAAGAAACTTTTTTCATGGTATTTATCGCCTCGACTAGGGCTTCTACTACCACTTCTTGGACGATCAGTAGTAAGATTATTTGCATATCCCGCACAGGCCCTAAGAGTCATTGGTTGTTGAACGCTGTATAATAACGAATTTGAAGAGTAAATTGGCTTTTGAATGATATTTTATGGTATAAGATGAAAAGAATTTATCAAAGAACAATACGTATGTTATAAAATGAATTTAGTAAGTAGTACTAGAGCTTTATATATATACGCACAGAGACAGAGAGAGAGAAGAAAAATCTTTGTTTTTTTTTTCGAATGCCTGGAAATAATCCAAAAAAAGAGATGAAAATGACGCAGGATAGATGAATAGATTTATCAAAAAAAAAAAAATTTTGACTCAAAATAAGCAAAGAACGACGAAAAAATAACACAAAAAGTAAACAGCAAGTCAACCGAATTTTCTTTTTCAGCAGCTACTTTCTCCCATTTACGTTTTTTTTTGCAAGACAAATAAATAATTCATTGCGAGTAAAGCAAACATTTCTCGATTTGAAATATACGTCAACATCACTATTCGTCAAGAAACCTATTATAGAGGTCCGCCAAAAATAGTCGTGACGTGCGTCATCAGTGTATAGAAATACCAAATTTGTACAAAAAATAAAATTCCCTGACTCAGAATGTATCAAGGATTATTCATACTCATCTCTTATATATAAGAATTCGTTGATTTTTGTTTCCTTTTCATAGTATATCTCACATCGTTCATTCGCAAATATTCATCTCAAAAGCTATAGTGAATCCTTATAAATTCATCGCTACGATAGATACAGGGCTTGACTGATTTCAAATTAAAGGCTATATCAGTACGCAATATTTGTCTGAATAGATATTTTAAATTCCCTATCGTTCGATTTTTATGAGTACTTTAATAGACATGTCTTACAATGAGGATAAAAAAGGGTGATCCAGCGAGACAAAATCTCTTTATTCTTAACACAAGAATCAACCATGAACATAATAAGCGATGAAAATTTTATTCTCGGTGAGACCTTTAATAAAATAAAAACTATTGGTTATAGCTTGCGCCGAATGGAGCTTATTTCAATTTTCCAATCTCCAAATCATGTTTCAAGAAAAACATGAAAATAAAGTTTTTACAATAGTCAATGTTCAGGGAAAACATCTAAAAATATGATTCTTGTGTTGAATGTTGGAAGGTTTTGTAATAATAAATGTAAAAATGCCTTATACGATGTTAATACATAATGAAAAGGTAATCTTTTACGAAAACTAAAAACTCTGAAATAAAGAATCGATGGCAAAACAAAATATAAAAGAATGATCGTATAAAATATATTTCTCTAAAACAAATTCTTGATCGATTTTGTCAATTTGGACTGATTGTTTTATGTATGGCTTTAATTGATTGAAAATTTTCGAGTATTTTTCTTTATCATAATCAATTCATTTGTTTTTATAATCTAAGCCGTTTTCTTCTGACAATTTTCTCATGTAATTGTTCAAGAAAAGTAAGATAATTAGATTTATCTTTAAATAAAAATTTTCTCGTCTAAATCTCTTCTATGATTTATAGAAATCAATAACTTTTTCAAATCTTCTCATAATTTGTTTGATTGATATTGATATTTGATCAAATAATTTTGATTATGTACATCGATAAAGCTTTCAAAGATTTTTATTTCAAATTAAAACTCATTGAAAAATATTCATGACAAAATCAAGATTATTTTTGATTATCAGTGTTAAAATCCTACTTTTCTCGATGAACTCATTAAAAAAAAATAGGAAAATCAATGATACAAAAAAATCAATTATAATCTTTCATTTAATAAAAAAACAAATTCATCATTGGGCAACTTTTAGTTTATCAAGTAACGATGTAGAATCAAAGTAAGAGGATCAATGATGAAGCTTCATCTCTCTCATACTAATGCATCTAAAACTTCAGTGTTCAGTATTTTGAATGTGATCGCTCACACGAATAATTGATTGGTTTTCTCTAGTTAAAGATCTCATTGGGAAGAACACTTTATACTGCACGAATCAGCTCATCGAGCTGTACAAACTGCTATAAATTCGATTCAAAACAATGCATTATATTTGGATACCATTTCTTATTAGCTTGAAATAAATGAACTTCATCACACTGATAAATAAAAAGAAAAACACAATAAAAAAAAGTAAAAGATCAATCATACACACAAATAGTGAAAGAGACACATGAAAAATACATTTATATAGTTTTATAGAATGAATGGATGAATAACACCCGATATATCACATATAATGTATTATTATTATCATTCAAAAAAGCCGTGATGAATTCGTGCTATTTCATGTAGAATTGATGTTTGAATAAGAAAACCTCGAGAATTCGTCACATCTTTCCATATCGCCATACCCTAAATAAATACATTATAGAAAAATAATCATTTCAGTTTAGATTAGAAATAATAAACATACATCTTGACGCAAATTAGGAACTAATATGTTTGAACCATAATGAAAATTCCATATTTCTGCTTCTACCCAAGCATTATCTGTATTGCGTAGATCATCAATGTATCCTAAAATTGATAATAAATTTTAACTAAAATAATAAAAAAAAGAAAATCTCTTTGAATTACCTCGATAAACCATATGAGATTCAAATTCAATTGGTTCAAAGATATCAGCAGACGCATGAGCAAATGATTTAAAATGCTAAATATAAATTTATTTTAATTCAATATAAAAAAAAATTCAATTATAATATTATACTTCAATCATATCACGCTCTTGAAATGATGAAAAATCTTCCAAATCATTATCTTGAAAAACAAGTTCATGAAAACTACGACATATAGAACCATAACAAGATTCAAGACCTAAAATATTTGCCTTAAAAACAGAAAGAAAAATTTCATTCGACAATAAAAAATTAATAATACTCCAGGTAATTTCCAATCATTTGTATATTTATCTTTCAATACTAAAGTTTCTAAAATTCTTTGTTCGCCAACAACAGCAAATTGATCACGATGTTTTTTCCATCGTGTTATGACAGCTATAATAAATTTATTTGGTCCCCATCGAATTAATGCACCACGACCACGTAAACCTGTACGACCCATAGGATTCCTATAGACATATGAAATATTAATCTACATATAAGATTTCATATATATATATATATACAGAGGTATTGATAATTGATTATCTAATGCATAGACTGAAGATGTTTGATTATCTAATGTATAGACTGAAGATGTTTGATCTTCAGAAGTTGCAATCCAAGTTCTTCGATCAATTGTGATCTGAACATATAAATTCAATGATTCTATTCAGGAAAAAAAAGAAGCAAAAACCTTTTTTCCATCGGGCAGTTGTGACACAACAACTTGATTCCATTTATAATCTTTTAATAGAGTAGTATTATCAGTTATTGTTGTCATTGATGGTTCAATAGTTCTAAATAAATCCGATCGAACAATCGGAGTTTACTTAAATAGAACAAAAAAAAATCAAACTTACAAATCAGATTCAACAAATGGTCGTTCATAGTCTTGAAAACAGTCATGTTGTTTTGATAATGAAATTACTGTTGGATCGTATACGTCAAATGGAACCTAAAAATTTCAATTTTCTATTAAATTTATTTCAAAAAAAAAAAACAAGAAAGTAACCTTCCAAGGAATTTGTTTCTGTGTTATTGGAAATCGTGCTTCATTTGTATAAATATACGGTGATTCTCTTGATAACATATGAATAAATTTTTGATATACAGGTAATGATCTATCTTCTTGTTTAATTACTGAATGAATTTTTTCAAGTAATATTTGTGAATCAATTAGTAATTTTTCTGATATAACAACTCGATCACTCATGTGTCGTAATGATTTACGTAGTATATCAATATCTTTTTCCATATTTGTTGTACTAAAATTAATTATTTCAAATTTTTTTTATGACAAAAAAAAAACAAAGAAAAACAAAAATTTTTATTTTTTACCTCTTAGATAAATTATCAAGTTTTTCTTGTACTTTATCACCTTCTTTTGTTTTAGCATAAAATTCTTTAGCTTTAAATTTCCAATATACATTAGTTCCACTATCTTCTACGTTGTTTTTATTCACATTCTACAATAAATCATATTTAATGATTCAATAAACAAGAAACTATTTATTCAACATACATTTTGTTTTTCCATATCTTTTTCAGATGATGCATCCCTAGATTTGTTTGTTTTAGAATCATTGTCATTATTATTTACTATTGAAATAAATCGAATAATGAAATTTTGATTTTTATTATTATTATAAATATATGTATACCTTTTAGAACTAATTTTCTAAGAGCTTGATTTTTAGAATCCTTTTTCTTATCACTATATCGCTTGTATTTTAGAATACATCCATTGATACACTTTGTTAGTAACATAACTATTATAAAAAGAAAAAGATTCATATATGTTTGATTGCCATTTTAAATCTTGAGATATTGTCGATATCGTAAACTAGGATTAAATTTATATAAAAACATAAAGAATTTTCAAAATTTTTCCAAAAATGAAAAATATATCATCATTCATGTGTTTTCACTAAAGAGAGTACAAACAAACTACAACAACTGTAATCTGCTGTTAGAAAGCGTATTATATCCGCAACAGATTCACGGTAAAACTAGAAAAGTTTTAAAGAAGTCCGTGCCTACGAACTTGTGAAGGGGCATAATAGTCGTTTTACTGAATTTTCAATCCATTTTTAAGTATTTACAGGGAGATCATCTAATAAAGTTTCAACGCGAAATTCAACCCATAGATAGATTTATGATATATAAAATACTCTAAAAGTATTTATTTATTCAAGTATTAAATTTCCAACGAATCATCGCTTGCAAGAAACATGTCACAAAAATTGAGTTTGATTAGAAATTTAACTTCTCAACAAAAAACACTTTTTTTTTGGACTAAAACTTTTAAGATATTCTTAGTGTCATTAAACCAGTTTTTAAGCAAAATTTGTAGGTCGAAATTCTGTTATTTGATTCTCGAATAAATATTTGACAATGGATCGAAAATTCGATTAAATAGTCACAACTCACGAGGGAACGTTCCCAAGTAATTAAAAGCTTTTGAGCTCATATATTGCCCATTAGGTAGGGAACCACTAGATTAGAGAAAGCTCCAAAGGATTCGTGCCGATATTGAGATTTGACAGAGATATCGAATTTTTAGTGGATTTTTCCTGCTGGACCCTAGTTCTACAGCAAAATCATATTTTCGAATTCCGACCTGAAACTGTGCCCAAATGAAGGCTTCGATTAGAGCAGCTTATATAGAAAATTTCAGAATTTTTGGACACTGCATTTCCAAGGCATCAATTTTTGAAAATATAGGCACCTTTCTATATATAACATGGATACTTTGAAAGATTGATACCTTGGAAATGCAATGTTCAAAAATTCTGAAATTTTTTATACAAGCTACTCTGATCGAGGCCTTCATTTGGGCAAGGTTTCAGGTCGAAATTCGAAAATATGATTTTGCTGTAGAACTAGGGTCCAGCAGGAAAAATCCACTAAAAATTCGATATCTCTGTCAAATCTCAATATGGGCACGAATCCTTTGGAGGTTTCTCTAATCTAGTGGTCCTCTACCTAATGGGTAACATATGAGCTCAAAAGCTTTTAATCACTTGGGAACGTTCCCTCGTCAGTATCGAAGTGAAGTCAATCAAGTTCTAAATTTTTAGAACTGGACTAAGTCGACAGGTTCTATTCCACAAGTCCATAGACAACAATTCTTTTCAGTAATTGAATACTTAATAATCATCTCTCTAAATGGAAATTTTACTATTCTTTCTTTCAGAAAATATTTTACAATTGTCTTACTAATATAAGAAATAATGATGAAAGGTGGAGGTAAACATGGTCGTTTAGAATATCCAATGAGAATTTTGTATCGGTTATACATCCAAATTTGTTGAGATTGGTTTTGTACTCTTGCTCCAGTTAAACTAATTTAACAAAAGAAAAAACAATTCAGTTATCTGATTTGAATTAATTTGATCGAAATTAATATACCTAAACATCGCAGTTAAAAGTGATCCAAGAAAACGATTAGTTAAAAATAAATATTCTATAAGTAAAAACCATGCTATCCATGATGTTTGATTGCAAGTTGATGATGATATTCCATATCGTTTATATGCATAGGAATTATCATCTTGAACAAAAACAATGTTTTTTTTATTAGAACAAAAAAAAAACATTATTCTTACATTTAAACGAAAGACCATGAGATAATCGGTGACAAACATATTGTCTTTCTGTCTGAGTTGTTGCATTTATTGAACATGGTCCACGTGAACTCTTTAAATCAGTCATATCATTAGTAAATAATGCCATTAAACCACGAAATATGAAAGCTTTTGAAAATAACTCTGAATTAAATGGATGATGTGGATAAAGTACAGCTGTTATTGCAACACCAGATGATATCATAAATATCACAAATAATTGTAAAAATTTTACAAAATCATCCATGATCTATAATGATATTCTTAGAAAAAAGTAGCCAAAACAAAAAAACCAATAGTTTAATTACCATATATCGAAGTCGAATCATCAGAGGACCAAGTGTTGAACTTATCGGTAAAAAAATAATTAATAATCGATAATAATAATAAAGTAATCCAACACCTAAGATTGCTTTTGCTGCTAAAACTTGACAAGCTATTTAATAAAAAAAAACAAAACAAAATCAATTATGATTTTTATCTATACTATTACTTCCAAAATTCCATAAACCAACTATTCTAATACCAAGAAAAAGTGCCAAAAATATAATTTGTATAATAGTGTCAATTACAGCTCTTTGTATAGATACACTACATTGAGACTAAAATTTCAAAATATTAAATCCTTTCAGTATTTTTTATTATGCAAAGACTCTTACATAATATTTTTCATAAGTAACACGTGCAGTTTCGAAAGTAATTATTGCTGCCCAAAGCCAGACAAATAAATCAAGTAATAAATTTCCACATGATGGCCACATAACAGCCATTGTAAAAAGACATAAAAATGCAAGATAACAAACAAAATTTATATGAAATTTTGTTATTGGTGCTGACCATAAAACATAAATTTTTTGAAAAGGATTCAGTTGTTTTTCATTAGATGTAGTTTTGGGTTTTTTTACAGTACTACCACAAAAACGACGTCTTAGTCGTTGAAAAATACCATTCTAAATAAATTTATATATGTTGTATTGAAATTATATTGATTGACAAAATTGTAACTTCTTCATACTACTATGTCGAATTTATTTTAGATCAATTAAATACTCAATCATTATCAATTTTCTCATCACAGTTTATTTTTGTGAAACACGATCTAATGGCAGCGCTAGACTACTAATGTGAATATTGGTGAATAGAAGTTCAACGCTCATCTACACGCGTTTAATGTTGCTGAAAAAGATCTAAGATCATAGCACCTATCAAAACAATACTATTTTTTAGGCTTTTTTCATATTTGTAAAATATAATAGATAAAACTTCACGACGAATGATTAACTATACACATATACTTAAGGCAGTCGAAAAGTGATGACTTATTAACGAAAATAAAATTCAGAAACCAGTTAATCAGGTTTTTACTTTTTCAAATGTTCGAAGTAGTACCTATAATTATTTAGATACAATATCATCGATTCAATCGATTTATCAAGGTTTTTTAAAATCATCTAGATCGAATGAATTCATGATTTTGGTTATGACACGATGTTATGTTTCTAAGTCGCTTTGATCTGTTAGATTTTGTTTGATTAATTCGAATAATCAAAAATCGTACGGTGCGAGATATGAAGAATTTTTTAATTGTAGCATAATCTTGTTACTTTCTGATTAAAGATACATAGAAACATCTTCATGAACATGTGGTTTCGCATTATCATGATGCATTTTAATCACATGTGTACCAGAATATGGCCTTTGTATCTTGATTTCATTGACAGAGGACTCTAAGTAAATAATTAATGTAATAGTGATGGTCAATAGATTATCTTCTTTCCACAGGATGGATTAAACTAGGGTCAATTGTCTTAAAGAAGATACAAAATAAAGTTTTTGGAGAGAAGTGACTCCATCAAATAACAGTTGATGAAGTCTCTCCTCTAGATGTTCAGGCAACATTCGACGACTTTCGTCCAAGTTGTTTGGGATAAAACCATGACTTGTCATCTGTCACTACGTCACATAACCGGCATGTTTCTTGTTGAAATTTTGTCAAATTTTTCGTAACATTTCTGAACATCCGTCAACAGATCGATTATCCAGCGAACAGTAATTCTTTTTTGGCTTCCGATGTTCAGAAATAATTCGTACGATTGTACTGTGACTCAGTCCAGTTTTGACTTGTATTTCATCAATTGTACGACAAAGATTATTATCAAGAAGACCATGAACTTCTTTAATATTTTCGGATGTTATCTTTGTTACAGGTCGACCAGGTCATGTTTCATCTTCGATCTGTTCTCCACCATCATGAAAACATTTTTACCCTCTAATAACTGTATTATGAGATAAAGCGTGGTCACCGAAAACAGACTATAATTGATCGTGAATAGCTGTTAGTTCAATACGAAGTGCAGTACACATTTTAAAGTAGAAATGAAATTTTTCTTTTTAACCACCTGGGAAATAGGTGTATAGCTTTTGTTGAACGTTTCTCATATAACAGTAGTAACTGATGAATCATATTATATTGAAGAGGTATAGAATACTGTTTATGTTACGAGTACATATGGAAAAAAATTTCACTTAAGCTTTCAGTTGAGAAATAAAATATTGAAATCACTATTTTTGGACTGCCCTAAGTATATAATATAGGAGAAATCAAAATTTTGATTAATCCTTTGAGAAAGTTCGAATTGCCGTAGATATTAATTTTTCCTACAGTTTATATATACTCTGATTATAGGTTGCAGAACGTTTGGAGTCTGAGATACGCTCAATAATCTCTATCCGATTTCTAACGAAAATTTAAAAATGGAAAACAGGAAAGCGAAGCTTTTTCGGCTATTCGAAAGCAATAAAGTTAATTCTTCTTGTTTATAATAAATATTTTGACCTTTGTACAGTTGATATGATTCCAAAAACACTCGCCCCTTGTGTCAAAAGACGTGCACTTTAATTTTGCTCAATTAATTGAAAATATTTCTTAGACTGATGAGTTCAGCTATTGAAGAGATGGCAAAAGCTTTCGGTAGCTTTTCGTTTATCTAATTCGAGTTGTCATCATAATTCTTCTGCACTTATTACAAAGTAGTACTACTTGAACTCATTGACCATGCAGAGTCCTATATTTAGTCATGAGAAATATAATGTTTTCTGAAAAATTTATTTCTAAGTATGCTTCACTATGATTATGCTACAGTTCGCTGCTGTATATGATCGAAAATTTCGACGCCAGTATAAGAATTTCGATGCACTGCATAATTCTATGGATCTAATGAAGTAAGAAATTAATGTTTGAATTCGACCTATGATATGTCAACCTGAAATTGACACGTTTTATAGTTGATATAATTTAACTTTGACACGCTAATGTGAAGAAGTAAGGCATAAGTTCGTCTATCGATAAAATATCGGTGCGAAATATAGAATAGATAGAAAGTGAAAATATGCAGTGTTAGATATAAGTTATCTGGAAATAAATCAAAACATAAGTATAAAAGTTTGCTGTTCAATATCTATTATGTTTGCTCGGTCGACTAATCATTTGTGAGTATAAGTGTGGGACTTGGTTACTACAAGCAGAAAGGCTCAACGCAAATATTCGCAACAGAATCATCCTTCACATCATTCAATACTGAGTTTTTTTAAATTATTAGACGTGTGATGGAAAATATATAGAGCAATAAAATACAACCTTATAAAATATAATGATGAATGTATGAATAGAATACTTACTTCTTCTTGAGTCGATACTTTATCGACTTGTTCAGCTGATTTTTTTCCTTCTAAATTTCATTTTATTTTTGATTTAAAAAAACCTTTAAAAATAACTAACCATCAAGTTTTGGTTCTTTTTTTGCATCTTGTTTTCCTTTATTTGATGAATCACTTGCTTCTGTCGATACTGAAGATGCTTGACCAATAGGCGAAAAATTTATCCAAAAATGCATAGGGAATATAAGAATAGCACTCAATGTGATCTATTCAATAAAGAAAAACATTCATCTCATGTAGATCTAATTTTTTTTACTAACTTTTAGAAACTTTGGACAAGTAAATAATCCCCATGAAAGTTCACGTGGTGTTATTTGTCCATAAAACTGTCTTGTAACCCATTTTTGACAAACAGCATGTGCCATAAATTCCTTATTCTCAGCATGATAAGCTAATTGAATAGTTGTCATATTATTCCAATCCTTAATTAAAATACTTCTTATGTCTCATGAATTTTGGTTTTTTTTTAAAAATTTGTACCAGATGTTCTTCACTAAGCATTGCAAGTGTTCTTGTATCATCGTCCTTGAATGCTTTATCAAGAAGGCCTATAGCCAAATCCGAAAATTCTCTGAAATAAATAAAAGAATCATATTTAAGACGAAAAATAAATAAAATTTTTTCAAATTTTACTTGGCTTGTTTTTGTATTAATGATTTTACATAAGTTTCGTGACAATATTGTGCTAATTCTTTAAACATCATATAACAAGTTAATGCCAATGGAATAGGATGTAACGAACGTTTCCAAAGAATTTTTGCTAATTCATGTCGATTCATTAATACAGCATAAATAATTAAATATTGAAGAGCCTATTTTAAAGAAAAACAATTTCTGTAAAAATATCAAACAAAAAAAAAGCATTTTACTTTTTCTTCTGCTAATATCTTTTGTTTCTGCACACCTTTCTCGGATTGTTCACCAAAATAAATTCCCATAGCATTACAATCCATGTCAGATTTACCAAAAAGAGTCCTAATACCCGTCAAACGTTGAATAATTGTATTCAAATGCAATTCAACAAAGTTGTCTGGGACTTTCTCATCCTATTTAATACAAAACAAAAACAAAATGAATATCAAGCAATTCTTTCTCTTCTTTACTCCTGAACCACTAAGAAGTCCTTCAAGTGATGTTATTGTGAAAAAATCTCTATCTTTTGCTTCATTAAATAAACTAATTAATTTTTTTGAATTTAAATATCTATGTAAAACAAATTTTCGCTCAATAAATAAATCAACAAATGCTTCAAGATTTTCTTCCAGTATGGCTTTATCAAATAATTTTTCTGATATAGGATATTTCATGCCATCTTCACGTTGAAAAATTTCTGATAAAGCTAAATCCGGTAAATTCCAATCCAGTGTTAAAAGAAGATTTCCTTTTAATTGAGCACTTCGTTTTAAATTAATAATTCGTTTTAATTTATCATTTTGTTTTAATAAAACATCTTGTTTTGATTCAACATTAACTTTATCATCAGTAACAGGTTTTTGTCCTAAATTTAAAAAATAATAATAAAAATAGAGAGAATAAAAATATGTATTTATACCTTGTAAAAGAGCTGAAAGAATCAATTTATGAAAATTATTTAATGATGCTGTTGCACTATTAACATCAACAAATGATAAAAATTTTCTTCCACTTTTATCGGCTTCTTTAACAATTGACATAACATAATTACGAATTTTATTTCGTTTAAGATTATTATCTTTTAATTCAGAATATTCATCAAGTAAACATCGAGTTAATTCAACTTTTAAATAATCATCTTCAGATATTTTTTTACTTCTAAAAATAAACAGTAATTTTCAACTGAATCTTGTTTCTTTTTTTCATTTTATTACTTAGCATTAATGTCTTCATAAGTAAATGCAATAAGATCAGCAGCTGATCCAGTTCCTTTAAGAACAACAATAGGAACTTCTTGTTGAATTTTTTGATAGACAAGTTCGATTGTTTCTGGTGTACCATGAAGTAAGGTACATACCATTGGAAAACCACCTTCATTCGATGAACCAAATTTATTTGATGATACTGGTAGAGAATCTAAACCAAATCAATTAAGTTCCTCTTTTATTCAAGTTTTTATTATTTATACTGGTTGTTGCTAGTTGTGATTCGGCAGGAGTTATAACTTGCTGTTGTAATGCTTCTTGATGTAAAAAAGCTTCAAAACGATTGCGAAATTTATTTGTAATACTTTCAGCTGAATCAGTTACTTTGTCTAACAATTTATCACTAGTATCGGTTGTTATAGGGTTTATTTCTAAAATATTTGTCGAACTAGAACCAATCGGTGATTTACGAATGATTATAAAATGAGTATGGTCACAGTTTAATGATGATTGTTCATATTTACTTGGTGGTACATTTATTTCTTTCTATTGAAAATAGAATAAAACTGAAATAGAACTATATAATAAAGTTTTTTCTTTAACTACTTTTAAGTTGTTATTTGGTGATTGGAGATCAATAGACTCTTTAATTTCATCATCACAAACAATTCCAATTAAAGTTAATGTTTTATGTTCTTTCGTTGTTTGTTTCATCTTTCTCGCCAATGCATCATCAGCTTGTCGAAATGACTATATTGGAACAAAGTAAGTTTTTCAAAAAATTTATTAAAGAAACTTCATACAATTTCATCTCGAAAAGCTGATCCAATTACTTGTGGCATACCAATATCAAGGCCATTTGTTATAAACCATACTTCCGATGCATTTACGATCTGAATTAATCAATATTTTGCATTTTATTTTGTTTTGAATATATGCAGGTGTTTGCAAACGGCAAACTTGCACAAAAATAAGAATTTGTTTAGTGATCATTTTTTCGATTGTTAATGTGTTGTCAGATAGAAAACGTTTGTTTTTGTTTTGAATATATGGATCCTTTACTCTTTTAATTAGCTATTATCTATTCAATTTTACTGATGAAAGCAAAGTCATGCTTTTATTGAACGTTGTGCAATGTGAGATAAAGATTTGCATTGAAACTTTCTCTTCATAATATCAATAAAATCAAACTAGTTAATTTAGTTAAGTATTGAAGGAGAATCGCTCGATGGTACATCCTTATTATCAAGGACGATAGATCGAAACGGAGATGGTTTTTCGCGCGTTGCCTCGACTCTAAGTTCGTTTTCTGTTTTCAGTCCATTCCATTTTGTCTTCAGAAATTATGTTTTTTACTTCAAGTTTTTCCTCAACTATCTTTTAAGAAAAACTTTGTTTTGTTAAAAGAATTTCGTCAGATGAATAAGAGGTATAGATGTCTTTTGTTCTATTTGTGAATATGATGTTATCTTGCTATTGGATAGGCAGCTTTCGTTAACTAAAAGTTGCATTTATCCAATAAAAAAACAATTCTACAGGAAAAAGAATAAAATGGGTTATTCAAAGCTATTTTAATTTGCATCAACTTCTGTTCCGACTCCAATTGAGTCGTAGGCAGATTTTAGAGCCCGATGCAAATCTCTAGTAGAGACATATATGATTCTTACTTTTATTAATTGGAAAGTTCATGTCTTTGATATGAACTTTTTTATAATGGAATTCTAAGACAAGAAAATACGTCAGCGATATAACGCATCCCGCCTCACCTCGTTTCGATTTCTGTCAAGGACACAGAAGTTGTTGATGAATATATTCATCATAAAAATTAGATATTACTTATGATAAATTTTGAGAAAAACAACATTTACAACATGAATTGCAGCCTCAAAATATATCTGTAATATAGAGTGTTCAGAAAGTAACTAAACAAATAAATGTTTGAATGTCTTCGTCATATTTCGACCATATACATTGATATCATTATCCCCGATCAAGTAATATTCATTTTTCATAACTTATAAAAATCAATATATTTATTTCCTGAGTCAAAACTGAACGACATCTAATTTTTCTTTGATTTATTCTTCACAATAGTGTTGCTCAGACTCATACTTATACCACAGATATGTGTCTTGTTACTTAGAGTACTCGGAAAGTTTCAGCTGTCAGCAGCAATAGTTTGTTGACAAAACTACAAGATTACTACGTCATAACTTGTGAAATGTGACAGATCTTTGTTGAAGTCAATTGAACTACATAAAACTGATTTTTAAGAACTGTTCTCTTATAAATATTGAACTATGAACATTCCTTTATGAGTGCTAAGAATTTCGCCACTTATTGTCGATATATGATGAAAAAATTCAAACTTTTTTGATTCAATTACTTTTTGCATATCCTATATTGATTACCTATTTATCAATAAAACGACACCTTAAACAATGAAGCAATCAGTTCAGCAATCCAAGTATCAATTAGACATAAAACATACCGTTGAAAGGAGAAAATGAAAATGATAGTCAAAGAACTCGATTGATTTCTAATACAATACTTTTAACATTTGGATCTTATAGTATTGATAGAGAATATATGATCAACATATTTTTGTTCTACGATTTTAAGTATTCATCTTAAATCTAAATAATAGTATATGTAACGAATGAAGCTTTGGAGTCTAGAAGATTGTGTGAATATCAGATTTTTTAATAGTTCCATCTTAAAGAATACAACATGCTGAAGAAAACGCAAGGTTGTCGTATTTTCTCTGACTCTCTTTCAAAAAGTAATAAATATCGCAAAAAGCAAAGCGACAGGTTTTTTTCCTGCAATGTTATACATATTTCTTTTTCTTTTTTCATTTTTTGTCCCGTTTATCACCTTTTTAGAGAAGTCCTTCGGAAACTCGTTCATCCTTCATTTAACTTAGAACTTTAGTCTCTTTAAGATAGCATTCTTAGCAATAGATTGTCATAAAGTCTTCTAGTATCTGAAAACAACTGTGTATAATTTTTCCGAAATCTTCCTTACATAATCCATTTTAGATATTTCAGTATAGAAAGCATTGTGATTGTAATAAGTTACACTTTGTGTGTGAGGGGATACATTTTTTATAATTTAATCTTTACATAGAAATAAATACTCATGCATAAAGCAAAGTTTACAATCTTTTTTGCAAACACATGTACGTAAATATTTAATTAACTTACATTTTTAATGCCTGCTTTTAATGCTTCAACCATTTTAAGATTTTTGAATGATTTGTGACGTGTGATAGAACTAAGAATAGGTACGATTATATTAGGTATTTGTAATTTCCATTCATTGATCATGAAATCATACAGAGTACGTAAATCAATATGATCATCGACGTAAAGAAATGGTCGTACCTGGAAAAATCAAATTAAACATTTTTTAATTAGATAACTAAAATATATTTTAAAAAATCCAAAAAGAAAATATTCACATTAATATAAATAAATTAATCATACTTACCTCACCAAAATGATCAGCAGCAGAATCTTCAAATTTTAATTGTCCCCACCAAGCTCCATATTGTTGTTGAATACGACGATGAAAAACCTCTGGGTCTAATGTTAATAATGGACGAGAAAGTATTGTAGGTGGTGATAACTGTTTTTTAATACTCACTTTTATTAATCGAAACGTCTTCTATCATAGATGTAGACATCTAGAAAAAAAATATATACTATGGGGGCCAAATGAATTTCCCCCCCTATGTATTTTTTTCTTTTTATTACTATACGTCCTTTATTTTTCAACTTATCATATATAACGAGAAAGCTTAGAACGAGCTGCATCTTTTGATATATTTGAATTGAAGAATCAAATGGAGTTTAAAGGGTTAGCAATGTATTAGAAAAAAAACAGTGATAATTTTTTTTCCAAATGTATATATACAGGGTGGCCCAAAAG